CTGTATCAGGAGCCGGGTATTCTCTTGACTCAAGTGGTCTTACCTCCGTCCCGTCATCAGCTCCTGGGACCTTAGACTTCTCTTCAACAGGAGATTTAACCGCATATTTGCGGGATTTCTTCAGAAGGTTTTTAAGACCCTTTGGAGTCTTTATCTTCGCAGGTGGAACCTCAAGTCTTTCTTCTTCTGGAGGTTCATGTGGTGCAGAGGATTCTGCAGGTTTGTCCCTAGAGCCTGATGATGGTTCCGATGGTCCGGAAGGCTCAGGAACATCTCCAGATGATTCTGGTGGATCAAGTTTCTTGGCAGATGATTCTGCCGGATCAGATGGAAGAGGCTTCTTTTTCCCTGAAATCCTCTTCGGTGGTGGATCAGCTGCTCCCTCAGGTGCTTTGTCACAACCCTTGAGGTACGTGTGAGCCTTTTTCTGTCCGGCACAGGCTGGACAGCGACCTTCCGGTATCCTAACATAAGGCTTATTGGCTCCTAGAGCAGTCTCCGTCGCACTGAACGACGTACCTGACTTAGGAAGGTACTTCCTGGTGGAAGTAAAGCCTAGAAGGTCCAATACCAAATGGTTATTGGTACTAATCGGAAGAGGGGTTTTATACAAACCGAAAGCTTCACACGTTGCTAGGTCAGCTGTTGGACTACACTCGAGGGTCATTCTTAAATTCCTCATCTGTTCGATGGAAAACAAAATGGGGACTCTTCCCTGATCCAAAACTTCTATGGTTGTATCTCTTCTTGGAGTTGTGTTAAACCATAGAGTTACACGCTCCTTGATAAGAGCTGTTTCACTATCTGCGAAAGAGAACTTCGTGTTCGAAGGTGAAAAAGTGAAATCAATCATGCCTGGGGCATGTTGCTTCACGGCCTTGATAAGCCTGTTCACCGCATAGCGGGAACCCATAGCCCTAGTACAACCAGAGTCAAGTATGACAAAGGTAGGGCTCTTATCAAGATTGATCCGCTCTGTGAGAGCAGATAGGACGGTGTGCTGCAACGGAAACACCGCTGTTGCAGTTTCAACACCTTGCCCCTCGGATGGTTCAGAGACCTGGGGCACGTAACTCACTGATGAGTTGTACACGGGTTCTTGGTGCGCGCTCGGATCTGTGCCTCTACCTGATGATCCTGCTTGATTTCTTCTCTTCTTTCTCCGTGTCTTTCTTCGTGAGGCTTGTGATGCATAGTATGTATAAGACGTTTGATCGTCATAAGCGGCATAATTCCAACTGGAGTCAGTATAATAACTGTCCTCATACCATGAATCCCAGCTCGGTGCGGTGGAACTTTCATAGGCCTGTGGAGATCCAGTTTGGTCTCCTTGTAAGGAGGCAGACTTAGCTGTATCCTTACCTTTGCCTTTTGATTTTGTACCCTTGAAGGAGCTTCCTTTATCTCCTTTGTCCTTTCCTTTTCCTTTGCCTTTTCCACCTTTTCCTTTTTCTTTTCCTTTACCTTTACCGAAATAGCTGGAATCAGTTGGATCATGTTCTGCCTGGTTGGCTCTCCCTTTTCCGCGGTATGACCTAAAACGGCCACGTCCTTTTCGCTTGCCACCCTTTGCTCTTCCCGGTGATCCGGGACGCATTCTTGGTCTTCTTCCCTTTTTGAATCTCCTTGCAACGAAGGCCTCATGGTCGTCAACTGTCCAGAAGACAGCTTCTTCATCCTCGGCGGCAAGAAAGCCTTCCTCAAGGGTGTCTTCGTCTTGGAGCCAGAATCCATCGACTCCGTCGTATTCACCCTGATCGAGGATGAGGAAGTTTCGACCTCCGCGTTTGCGGCGTTGATCTCTCCTTCCATGGCGGTCCTTCTTGTGAGAAGTGTGCCGAATATTGGGATCCTGCAGACCAGTTCTGGTCGTTGAGAACTGATCGAACATGGTCTGCCGTACCACAGGGTACGTGTAGGTCTCAATTCGGTAACCTTGGTTGGTCAATGCTGTTACCAACCTCTCACGTTGCATCTCATTTAGGTCGGACTGCACTAGGAAGAGGAGAGCTAGGAGATTATCATTTAGAGGAAACGCTCTTCGATGATTATCAAGGCGTTCCTTGTTCCATGTTTCGAAGAAACGTGCGGCGTATGTGTCTCTCTCGGTTGCATCCTGTAGGCGCAAGAAGGTTTGATCTGCCTGCACAGCCTGCATGAAATCCGGATGGGCATCTTCCAGAGCTATCTCTGGTAAGAGATCCATCCATGAGTTTCTCACGCGCTGTAGCACGATCTCAAACTTAGCAATCCAAGTCACAAAGTCTTGGTTGCCCTTCCATGCCTTGAATAGGCCGAGGAAACGCCACAGGAAAACGTACTGTTCTCCTTTCACGAAAAATGGACGCATCTTCTTCTTGAAGTAATCTACTCCATCTGGGGCTGCAAGCCTTTCTCGGTTCAGTGATTCCTTTTGTACTGCGGCCAATCCGGAGAGCCTCGTCTTGAGAGACGGACCTCTTTTGGTGTCATCCAGCGTTGTTATGTCGCACCAGTCGTCAATCAACTGTTCATACTCAAACCACGAAGTGGTGCCATCATAGGCAGGCGCGATCTTGGGCGTTATGCCTAATGATGCAAGCATGCGGTCAGATGTTGCATATGACTGTGCGACATAAGTAGCTGGACCTTGGGAGGTCTCTTCGTTCTCATATCCCCCGGAGGATTGGGAACTGCCGTCGGCTTCGCTATGCGAGCTCGACATTGTGCTGCCTCTTATCCGCTTGGTTAAGCGTTCGGCGAGGCCGACCGCTGTAGCGGACTTTGTGAGGCGGGCGGCCCTTTCCGGGCTCCGCTACCAGAAAACTGTGCCGATACACCCCCAAGGAATACTCCTTGTGAGGAGGTGTATGACCAGTTATTCCCTAAGGATCAAAGGGCAGCGCCCTGCACACGGACAGTAGTTGTTTTGTCTTGCTACGCAAGGAGAGCTTGTCTTGTCTCAATATGGTAAAACCACTGTGAGCCAATGGGCAGCGGAATGTATATGTATGAGCATGCAGCCATTGCTGTAGGTACCTGTTAGAGCTACCCCTTTAGAGGTTTATGGTTTCACCCCCCCCTCGTGTGTGAGCAAAACCGGGTCTATTTGGAAGCTCCTTACTATGTCTTTAATAAGGGGAATATACGTATGTATGTATGTATATATATATATATATATAGATATATATATATATACACATGTAATTATGATAAGAAGAAAGCATCTTCCAAATAGACCTGGTCGGTCTTGAATTGAAGCCTTTTTGACAAAAACGCAAACAAATCAAATTTGCTTTTGTGTTTGTGTTGATGTTTTGCCTTGTTGGAAAAATTCAAAAAACATCAAAAAAATGAAAAAAAGCTCCCACAGGGAGGAGCGCAACGGCCAGGCATCGCCCCCCCCAGGGACCCGGGATCCAGGATTTGTTTTTGATTTTGTTTTGTTGAGTTCTTTGATTTTTTGCGTTTTTGAAAAACTCATTTTTTTTTTGTGGGTGTTTGCCTTGTTGAAAAATTCAAAAAACAAGAAATGTTGTTTTTTGGCTTTTGTGATATAGTATGATATGCTGCGATATAATATGTAACTTTAGATGATATAACAATAACAAATAATATGATGTATATACTAGTATACTGTCATATGGCAAAATATTCTACAGTATACTAAAACATGATACACTTTGATACGACTCGATATACTTAAGATAACATGATTTAATACAATATAACGTTCTATGACATAATATAAAACAAAACAATGACGCACCCCCTTTTGCAAACAGAATGCCTTTATGATGAGTTTTGAAAAGCTCTATTTAGTCTAAAACAGCTTTGTGTTTGATGCAAGTCTTGTTCATGATGCGGTGTTTTTCAAAACAAGCCTGCGCGGCTTAAACAGGAAGAAGGGGGTTGGGAGGGCAAAAACAACGTCTTTATGGCGGGTTCTGAGGGGGTCCATATGGGTTCTGTCTTTGCTGGCAAGATGATAACTGAAACGGTACAAAACGGGGATGCAGTTCCCCAATTGGAGACAGACTGTTTGTACGAGGAGTTTTGGAAAGCTCTAAAACAAATTTGTGCGTGGTGCAGGTCTTGTTCATGGTGTGATGTTCTTGAAAGCAAGCCTGCACGGCTTGAAAAGAAAGCGGGGGGGGGGGGGGTTGGGGAGGGCGCAACCCCCCGCCAATTTGCAAACAGAACTTTTTTATGACGGGTTCTGAAAAGGTCCATATGGGTTCTGTCTTTGCTGGCAGAACGATGCTCGAAGCTAACTTGCTCAGATTGAAAAATGTGAATATACATGTAATTTTACATGCCATAACATAATATAGTTTGAGTATAAAATAAGGCAGTATAACTAATATATAATACAATATGTGATACTATGACAAAATACATTAAAATATACAGAAATATATTTTAATAAAATGTGATATGATATATTATGATACATCGTAATCTAGTTTAATATAGTATAACTTAGGTGGTTATGGTACAATATAATAAAGCAACAAAATGATACAATATGATTTAATATAATACAACACAATGTCGGATCATATAACATCATATACTAAGTTGTCAAATAATCTTTTATAACGTCATATAAAACTATATAATATGATAGAATATAACACAATATACTAGAATACAATACACTTTGCTGCAAATATATATATATATATGTAACTTAATATAACATATTATATTATAATACACGAAGCTATAACAAGTCGAAAGGCCAAGAAGCCGAGCGGCCGAAAAGCCAAGAAGCTACCTCTGCTCACCCCTGCTTCGAAAGGTATGGTTGTAACCATATATACTTATAATACATCCTGAAAACTGGACCAGAGGACCAGGCGCTGCACCGGACCAGGGGACCAAGAAGACCAAGGGACCAGAGGATCATGGGACCAGAAAACCAAGGGGACAGGAAAAAAAAGGAGCAACAACAAAAAAAATGAGAGTGAATAAATACGCCCTCCACCCTAAACCACAACCCGTGGCAGCCCAGTGGCATTCGCCGGGCAATCACTCCATGCCTTAGACCCAGGGTTCAGGGTTGAGACCACGTCAGGAACCCGGATCTTCAGTAACGGTTTAGGGTTTAGGGATTAGGGTTTATAGCCATTAGGGTTTTGGGTTCAGGGTTTAGGGTTGAGGCACGTTGAACAGGGTCCCTCACCTAGGGTTCGGCTTCGAAAAAACACCAAATGCAATTTCGGGCTTTATCGGACGTACTCCGTAGTTTAGGGAGGACTCTTGGGGGGGGAAGAGGAACCCTTGCATCCTCCCAGAAATTCACCCGGCCCTTCCCTTTAAAAGGCGAAGTCAAGCATACCTAGCTACGATGCAAGCTCCCTCTACCATTGGGACCTTAGGGTATAGGGGGGCGGGGGGGGATAAGGGGCCTCAATGCCCATGATCAGGACCTAACAAAGCCTCTTGAAGGAAGTATAGTCCCCTACACCCCTCCCCCCTTACCGCCCTAAGAGTCCCTATGACACTATGACTCCATGGTGCTAGAAGTTCTGAGCCAGGCTAAGTTCTCACGAGGATCCTACTGGTCCTACTGCTTCTCCCATGTATATGCTGGGAGTACTCAGGAGATGCCTGAACCGGACCGAACATGGAACAACATCTGAACCCTATGACACCCCTTTTGAACGGCCTTTGGAATCGGAGTAGGGATTTGTGGTATGTTGCCGTGTATTTTTGCACGAGTGCCATAAAGAGCTATGGTTACCATGCAGCTGTTGAAAACCGCTAAATTAAGCCCACAACCCTATCAGCCGTTCGCGGCCGGGTTGCATACAGTATGGGAAAGCGCCTGTTGCCAGCTGCACAGCTCTGCTGATGCCGGGGCTGCTGCAAAACTCGAAAACGTGCCTCGCTCTCAGCGGTTTAGCCATGGAAGGCTCGAAGTTCCGGATTTCTATGGGAGTTTCCGAAATTTAGGGTACCTTGTTTTGGGGTCCTTGTAATAAGGAACCTACCAGTTCGGGTACCCTATTTTCGGAAACCCCCATATGGCTGCCGTTTTGGTTGCAGGGTGCAAGACTTCCCAAGTTTGGGAGACCTAAGCCACATACAAGAATCTGCCGTACGACACCTTGCGTTGATTCTGCCAATGGCTTCCCTACACCAAGAACACCAAGCCTGATTCCACAGGTGCCGTTGCTTACAGCAGAGCAGACGGGGGCCCAGTGGATAATGTTGTGCAGAAACATCTCACCACCTCCCCCAGAGACTTCAATATCACTTAATTAAGGGATATACCTTAAATTATAGTAGGATCCCTTATACGGTTTAAGGTCTATTCCTTAATTAAGGGATATTGGAGTCCCTGGGCCATGCATGCACGCAGACGTCTGATGCCTGGGGCTTGGGGTGCATTCTGGAACCTGAAATATCCGGAAACGAACCAATCGACTAGCAGCAGCAATAACCCGACGTCACTCTAACCCCGGAACCCCCAACCTTGTGTCACCGTAAGCACTCGAGAGAAATGGAAGACTCCCTAGAAGCAAAAACCCAAATCCCATAGCGTACCCCCACCCCTAGAAACCATAAACAAAGAGGCCACCGTCAAACGCTCAACCCCCTGAACCTTCTAAAGCCGCATATAAGCATATACAATACATAATAACAAACACCATTAGGCCCCGTCCACCCGTCCCCTTCCAAAAAGCTCTCCAACATTTTCTGGACCGCCATCGAACCCTATATCCCTAAACCCTAACCCAGTTCATGGTTGGGATAGGATTAAACAATTGTTTATTCCTTAGTGGGTTTAAGTACAAAAAAATGTAAAATGATACCCAACTATGACAAAGTAACCCCCAAACCCTTCAAAACTGCTCAAACGCTCGCTCGGCTGCCAGAGAATCACCAGGCATTGGAGATGGAAGAACAACGAGGTGGACAGCACGAGAAACCTCTCATTTAAGGGTTTCGGGTTTAGGGTTTAGGGTGCAGGGGCCTTAATGTTTAGACTATAGGGTATTTTGGGGCTGAGGGTGTAGGAACCCTAATATTTGGACTAAGGTGCAGGGGTTTACGGTTTAGGGCCTTCATACTGTACCAGAACCACCCAAGCGCCCCTTCATGGAGCCCTTATGGCCCTTTCAAGGTAGGTGCCTTAATAATTTGACTAAGGTTTTGGGGCTCCTTTGGCTTGGGGTTTGGGGCTTCAGGGTTTAGTTCAGGGCTTGGAGTTTAGGGTTTCGGGCTTCAGGGCTCCGGGCTTTGGTGAGTATAGGGTATAGGGCTTCATGGTTAAGGGTCCACCTGGACCCTAAACGAACCGACCCGTAAGGATCAACAAAAGGAAAACCAGAATCACAAAAGTCCAGAAAGGTAGCTTACTTAGGGTTCAGGTTTGGGGTTTGGTGTTTCCGATGCTTTAATTAAACTGTAAGTGTCCAGTCACGTTCAGTAACAGAAAGGAACGTTGTGGGAGGAAGGGTTCCTTTCAGGGATTCTTTCATACGGGCTGTCAGGATTTTGTAGAGTTTAGTATGGTTTAAGCGTCCATTAACCTTTACGCCTACACGTCGCTCCTACACTACTTGTGTAGGAACCCCTTTGCGGCCAAAGTGCATACACCCAGAATTCCGGTAGGATCCAAAAAGTAGATCCTTTAATGGGGGTTCCTGTAAAATACCCTTAGTAGTATACCTACACCCTCCATCTACCCTCTATTAGACCCTAAATGCCCCTTATTTGGGACCATATACCCCTATTTGAGGGTACAAGGAGGGTCCTGGTAGGGCCCCAAATTAGGGGATCTACTTTCTAGATCCGCTACATGGACCCTTGGGCGCAGGGAGAAGGATTCCCCAAACTCGAACCCCTCAAAAGGCACCCTGCAGCATTCTCCGGGACATAACCCTATAGGGCTCTGAGGACTCATATGTTAAGGCTTTCGGGCAGAAAGACCATATACTATATGAGGCTTTTGGGCTATTTTGATGCCCAGGGTAAGGCAATCTTCAACGTCCTGCGGCTCCTCAATCAACTTCAAAGTTTTGGTCCTTTCTTGTTTGACAAAACTGGAACCCCCAACCAAAAACCTGTGTAGCAACGCGGTCAAGAAACTGCTCTCTAAGTGCATGGAGCTCCCGTTCCTCGGACATGGGGGTCTTGGTGTTGGGCGCAAGGGTTTGTTTTGGGGGCTTCGAGGTTTCAGCAGGGTTTCGGCTTTGAGAGTTGGGAGATTGTGTTAAGGGTCTACCTTTGGTACTGCCCCATACAGTAAGAGTCTATAGTAGGGCTACTATTAAAGTCCTAATATATCTATATTAAGAGTATTATTCAACTATTACTGAGCGGGGGCCGTACCCAAGGTCAATCCATAAACCCTGACACCCTTAACCCTTTTGGTGGCGCACATGAGCATAACTCAAACAGGGCCTACAAGATGAGCCTATACTACTGTTGATGATATAAATCCTGCATTACCTTAAGGACCCTAAACTATGGGAATAATGGTATATTCAGTATATTCCTCATTATGGGTAATGCAGGATGTATATCATCAACTGTACTACCCAAGGTCTACCAGTTCAGGGTGGGCCTTGTCGGGTTTGGGAATCACTTGTCCCCCGAAGCCGACCGATCTCAGGCCGTGAGCAGGAGCTGCTACAGTAAAGCCCCAAAAAAGTTGGAAACCGGCTCCTTTTTTGGGGCTACCTTATAGGATCCTTAATACATACTTGGTTAAACCACAAAAAGGAACTACAATGGAGACTATAGGTAAAGCCCCAAAAAGTTGGTAACCGGGTTAAGGACAAATAGTGCTGGGCTTCCTTTTACATTACTCTTACGGATTGAAGCTATTCGGTTTTCAACTTTTGGGCTGCTACCATAATGTCTCCTGGAGCAATGATTGGAATGGGCCTTGCGCCGGATAACACAACAGTTCATCTCAACAACCATGATCATGGTCACGATCATGCGTGCATGAATGCATGCATGCATGTATGTATGCATGCATGTACATCTGTATTTTCACGTACTCTCTCTCCCTCTATATTATATATATGTATATAGATATGTACTTTTTAGAAGGATACCGGCTCATGGCTTAACTAAAGATCAATGTTCTCAGAACAAATTCTGCTCGACAGGTTCAGTCTGGTTGTTCAAGTCACAGAACCGCACGCCTAAAAGTCTGGAGAACTGATTAAACTAACATGAGTCACACCGTATATACCACCAAACCCAACCCTACAGTTGATGATATGAATCCTGCATTACCCATATAATAAGGAATATATGGGAAATATGGGGTATATTCCTTATTATATGGGTCCTTCAGGATTTATATCATCAACCGTGGAGGCCCTAGGTCCTGATGTGTTTAATGTTAATACTAATTTTTAGTATTAGTACTAGTATTAGTATTAATATTGAATATTAATACTAATACTAATACTAATGCTAATACTAATACTAATACCAATGCTAATACTTAATTTAAGGCCTCATACCGGAGCCAGAGGTCGATGCGCGCATCTTTTTGGCGCTGCTTCTCAGAGGTTGGGCCGGAGAAGTTTCGCCACTGTTCGAAGGCTCGCCGTGGCCTCGTTGTTATCGTGGCGGCTAAACCCGAAACCCCAAAACCCTAAACCGTATCGGGGCGGCGAAGGCTCAAAGGCCTAGGATCTTAGGTTGTTGGGACGGTCGTAGGTTTTTTTAATTCAGGTGTTGGGGTGTTGGTTTCTGGGTTCAGGGTCCATCCCAATAGACCCACCATAGCCCAATCAGCCCTTTGAGCCTTAGGGTGGCCATGATCAATGATGGTCGACCAAGTTCAGTTGTAGTTGTCAAATCTTCAATCCTCATCTCATCCGGAAAACATGAAATATGAGGATGCGCCTCGAGAACCCTTGAACAACCTTGCACAACCCGTGATGTAGAAACCTAGGACATCTTGGAACACCTTGAATACACGAGCTACTTAACCCTAATATCGGAACCTGGTTCAGAAATCCTGGGTCTTTAAAGGGTTCTTCACATGTATCCAAATATGTAGGGATTCTGGGGACGGGATTTCTCAACCAGGATCTTACATGAAGCAAGACTACAACTCAACCCGAAACATCACTGCTTAACCATAGCCCCTCGACCCTTTCAACCCATAAAGTTGGACACCGGATTAAGGCCAAAAAGTGCTGGGATTCCGTACACATTACTCTTCAGGATTGAGGCTATTGGGTTTCCAACTTTTTGGCTTCTACTGTAAGCCCCAACCCTTGTCGAACCTCTGTAAAAGCTCTTAGATGTCCCTAACTCGGCCTTACATCCCGGCCGAAGGCCCAGAGGTGCAGAGCCAGAAAGATGGCGACACCTGGGCTGGAATCCAGGGCTTCGGGGGGGGCTGATGGGGCTCCTGGGGTGGATAAGAGGGTAAAAAATTAGAAGATTTAGGGGTGTAGGATTTTAGTTTTACAGGGGATCGGTGTAAATTTTGAAGGTTTTTGGGAGGCTATCATATCGGGGGGAGGAGCTGTTAGACTTCAAACATGGCCCTGTCAAGGTTCCACGAGCGGTCTATGAAGGTTCTGTGGAGGATATGGAGTAGTAGAGGTTGTGTGCGGGGTCGTTAAAGGCTCCATACTTTTATATTCGTTCCACCACGGTTCACTATTTCATTATCAAAATACTAAAAACCGGGGTTTGGGTGGTGCAGAGTTCGGAAGTTTAAAGCTCGCAGGTGCTGGTTTACGGCTTTGGGGGTTTCGAGTTTGACGGTTAAGGGTCTGGTTTTTGGGCCTGACACCCCACAAGGGCCTTAATAATTAGAAGAAGGTCTTGGGCTCCTTTATAGTATAATCATATTAACCCAGACCCCCGGGAGGATCCAAAAAGTAGGGGGTTCCTTTCAAGTGCCCCAAATTAGGGGATCTACTTTCTAGATTTTCCCGGGTCTGGGAAGGAACCCTAAGGAATAATGTTGGTAATGATCTAGGCCCCTGTATAACGCACCCTGGATCCTGAGCCCAAGTTAGGGCTTGGGATCCCCAAACCCTATTCCAATTCTTGGATGCCCAGTAACCTAGGAATAAAAAGGGCTCCCTTTTTGGTACTGGGTAACTTCATAACGAACCTAAGACTACAAAAAGGGAATAAGGGTACTACTGGGCATCCTAGAATCAGTAAGGCCCCTGTATTTCGGGGCAATTGCGGCTTCAATGTCAGGCGCAATCACTCGTTTTGGTCTGCACAATTTCAACCTTTCTCAGCTGGGGCGCGTCGGTCACTTCTTCAGTGTACCTGTGTAGGTCTGGTAGGGAACACCTCCAATACTTTTCTTTAGAGCTCCGTTAAGGGACCAATGTTACAGACGTTGTGGCGGTCTGACAATGACGCAGCACCCCGTGAACCGCTCAAGTCCTACAGTGCCGTGGGACTCCGCGTATCACAGACTACAGGGACACTATCAGTAACAAGAATGCAACCCACCATAAAACACCACAAACACACAGGGGCCCCCGCAATCCCTTTGCAGCACAAAGCACTAAGGGACTGCTGCAAAATGTCCAACGTACCGAGGCAGACACCAGGAGGCAGTCTCCAAGGCGCAAAAACGACCAAAAGAAATGCTGTGTTGAGGGATGCTGGACTGAAAGGGGTTTAGGGCTTAGGCTTTAGGAGTTTAGACCGGATACCCTATCCTAAACACTAAACCCTAAACGCTAAGCCCTCAACCCTACATCCGTATAACTCCTGTGGCCGACGATAAGACAAGCTTCGCCCTGACCTGCAGAGCCCAAGCTCGGTATACCCCACGAGCCCTAGACGTTTTGGCTTTAGGGGCTTTAGGGTTCAGGGTTATAGACCCTCAACAACCCAGGCAGCTGCGGAGAGAATTCTACAATTTACCAAATATTTTTGACGAGGGACCCGATGAAGTCGCACTACCGACTATTCCGCCTTCTGCATTAAAGCATCTTAGGCACCTGTCACAGCCAGCTTCGTCAGGTCCAGGTTATGTCTCTGGCACAACACCTCGAAGCAGAAAGCTGATGGTTAGGGCTTTGGGAGTTAAAGGTCTTCAGGAACTTAATTGCTGAGTTCATAAGACCCAAAAAATGTACAATTCCCGACCCGGCCTTCACCATTCGAAAGTCGCCCAGTTTTTTGCCACGGGCTTCGCTGTATATTGCCTGTGACTTGCGGAGCAAATGGAAACGGGGTGAAATGCTTTACAGATGAGGCCTCAGCCTCATGTAATGCCCCAGCTCAAGGCTTGAGTCCAATGTGGACCCACTCCATAGGCTTGGATGGCAACGGGGCAAGAACACTGGAGCATATACAACTTTGTTGCTGCTCGGGCTCCTACATTCACAAGCCGAGGGAATTATACTCGTCAGGACATACACAATTCCCGACCCGGCCTTCACCATTCGAAAGTCGCCCAGTTTTTTGCCACGGGCTTCGCTGTATATTGCCTGTGACTTGCGGAGCAAATGGAAACGGGGTGAAATGCTTTACAGATGAGGCCTCAGCCTCATGTAATGCCCCAGCTCAAGGCTTGAGTCCAATGTGGACCCATTCCAGTGAACGCCCATTCACATCTGCTCGGCCTAAAGGCCGGAGTCGCAGGCAGGCTCAGCGCTCGGAAGACTTCAGATAGCGCACGAGGGCTGGGCCAAAGCTCTGAGATTGCCGTCGAATCGAGTTCACTCGCTTCGGCGAAGCTTGCTCCCACCGTTTGAGCAGCAAGGCATGCTTCTCGTAACGGGTGACACTTTTGCGTGCCTGCCAGCGGCCACGTTTCTGGATCTCATTGAGCGACCGTCTTTTGTGGAACATATCGTTGGATGCTCCAGAGTGTCTAAGAATGTGCGGCATAATGCAAGTAGAGCGGTAACCTAGCTGCTTGCAGCTCTTTTCGCACCAGCGTTCATAGAAGCTCAGTGTGACGCCAGGGAAGAGCTCATGCTTGCATCTGCCCACGTAAAGTCCCATTGCATCGGAGAGCCAACGACGGTCTGCCATGTCAGCGATCATGACAGAGTCGTCGGAGGTGCCTTGTTTGGTTCGCTCTCCTAAAGCAGAGGGTGCAATCACCAAAGACCATTTGTTGTAACGGCCGCCCGCAGGATATCCGACATGGTCCACGGTGAGGCCAAGCAATTCCGAGGGGCGCAGGTACGTGTCATACTGAAGGCTGAGGGCGAAGGCCAGGTCGCCACGCTGCTGTTGCAAAGCCAAGAAGCCGAGGTCGTAGATGAACTCCTCCGGAACCGGGAGGCGCATGCCCCCTGGCTGGAGTTTCTTCCATCCGTTGAGAGCTTCTTTGGAGTTCGCTAGGAACTCCTGCTTGGGCCCCATGTTGCGTAGCAGCTGCAGGCCATAGATCACGTAGGCACCGTTGGAGGGCTGGACTTCATCATCCTCTTCCAAGAAGTTCAGGTAGAGGGTGACCAGCCTATCCAGGGTTTTGTTAGTGACCCGGTGTCCGTGAGCTCGGGCCCACGCCTCGAACTCGCGGACATGCTTGTAGTACCTGTCCAGGGTTTTCTGTGTAGCCTTCAAAGCTCGAAGACGTAGGAGTGGAGGAAGGCTTGCCCCCTCTGGTGTCGTCCTGGGCTTTGCGCGTCTTTTCGGGGTAGTCGTCGAACTTTTTGTAGCCGGCGAGGCGGGCGATATCCTTGGCTGTGAAGTGGCCGAAGATGACCGGATGCGTTTGGAGGTACCGCTTGGCTCCTCGAAGGAACTTGTAGCTGTCCTGACCTTGGTGACCTGCTCGAAGATCTTCGTCGGTATCTGCATCATGTGGTCGGTGAGCTCGACGGGCCGCCGCCTCGACGCCATGGAGAAAACTCAGAACAGTCTCCGGCGATGTAGTCCCGGTAGCTCCTGGTGGCGCTGCGTCCTTAAGCAGTTGAGCCCAAGCCGCGCACAACGACTCAGGATAAGCTCCCGCTGCTATGGTGCGATTGCAGGATTGAAGCTTGCCATCTACAATCGACATCACTGACCCCTTCAGTCGTTCATGAACATGACCCCCTGGACAGCGTCTTGCTAGGCTAGAGAGTGAATGAAGGTCCGTGAGCATGCTCGTCGGTTTCTTGTAAGGAGTGCCCCAGGCGCACGTGTGGAAGGTGAAGAAGCAGACGTGCTTGTTAAGGAAGATGTCTCGAATTGGACCAAACTCCCACAATCGACTTGTTTGAGGATTTTCTATGATGAAATGCACCCCTGCTGCCAAACATTCTCGAACCACACACGCCGAAAAGAGAGCTGCTGCCACTCCCATTGCCTCCTTTTGGCGCGCACGCCTGACGTTTTGGATATTGTGTCTGGCCCTGCTCCAGACTGTGCAAGGGGTTCCAAGGTGCACGCACCAAACCACTCGATTTCTAATCATGTTGAAGATTAGCTCCTGGGTCTCTGGGCATGTCAAATCGAAACAAGATCCCTTGCCAATCTCGAAGTCAGGAAGTACCCGAAGCCCCACCCGCTGTACAGCGGCTGTCAGCCGCCCCGTGCCAGAGAAAAGTTCGAGGAAGTGGCGAGGTGCCAACAGTCCTCGTTCTGTCCCCGGCGACTCTCGAACCCGCTCTCCAAGACCAAGTGGACGAAGGCCACGGCCCAGCTCAAAAGAGTCGGCTCGGCAATGCGAGCCCTGGGTGCCATGTCCTCCGCAATCACGTCGATCATGTAAAAGATCAGGCTCAGTCGACGCAAAACGTTCCCAAATCGGAGCCGAGCTTGCAGGCACAACATGTCGGGTATGAGGTCGAGGAAGATCGGGGCCAAACCATCGCGATGGAGCGTCCGCCACGTTGCGTTTGCTCTCGATGTGGCGAAGTCTCCACTGAATCCGTCCAGCAAGCTGGTAGGCGGCGGCTCTCCTGCAGAGGTTGTTGAGAGGCCTCGATCCGCTGCGCCCTTTCTCAAAGGCCAGAGCCGAAACCAAGTTGTCTGTAATCGTCAGTGCTGTGGTGCCCAAGTTGCGAGAGGTTCGACACAGTCTCCTCAGGCTCATCAAGCACACTCTCGCCTCTTTGAAGTTAATGTGCTCCTTGATGTTTTTCCAGGGTTTGGCAGTCACAAGAGTCCAGCGCTGAGGATCATCCCAGGAACCCGCCAAAGCGGGGATCGGCGGCCCCTCGATCACGGTCTTCTCGACGTCAGTCGAAGGCCCCAAGAGCTTGTCGCGTCGCCTTTTGAAAAGAGGGTCCCGTAGCGCGGAATCCCATGCTGCAGCAAGCTCTTTGCCGAATTGTGTAGTTCTCCCGAGCCCGGCCGAAGGAGTCTGCCCGGCGTAGCCCGGAGTGCTGGTCCCTGTGTAGTCAAAAAGAGGAGAAGGAAGAGGCTCCGTGCTCTGCTTGAATCGCCACCGTTCATGATGCTGAAGGGCCTTCCTGACCTCCTTGTGGCTGGAGGCGGTGCTCATAAGTGCATAGCCACGATCCGAAGAATCACCCACGTGTACCTCAGTGCAGAGTGGGGCAGACATGTCGACCTCAACCAGAAAGATAAGACCGAGCACGTCCCGAAGTTCGGAGCGAACCGAAGCCCAAAGAGGGGCCCTACGGTCCAGGTGCTCCACTGCGAACTTGTAAGTGGCGGAGAGTGCACTGAGCCCGGGTCGAGCCAACTGAAAGTGGAAGTTGGTTAACCCCAACCAAACTCGAAGGAGACGTCCACTCACCCGGCGCCGTCGAAGAAGTCCACGCGTAGCCATCCATAAGGACCACGCGCGGGTGGTTTTTGATCGGGCCGTACAGCGGTCACCAAAGTCGAATCGCAATCCGAGACTGTGCATCCAACCCTGGCCCTCGACGTCATCAACCTCAAAGGGGATGCCCAACAAGGCAAAGCGGTCGGCAATGGCTTTCATTCGATCGCCCGCCTCGCCTTTGTAGCCCCCAAAGGTGTGGATATTGTCCACGTAGGTCCCGACCACAGGGCGACCAGGTAGAAGTGGTGGAGGAGGGGCCCGATCTCGAATCTCATCCTTGCCGGGTCTCGTACTCGTAAAGCTCACCTGATGGTTGACCACCTCGTTCGCGATGTAGAGAGCCCAGCTCCATCCCATGGGCACGCCTTTGAACGCGGCGTAAACGCGCTCATGAGCCCGGAGAGGGAGCTCCTTGTCAGCCTCATCGTCATAGACGGCGTCCACGTGGATGCCCAAGTCCGCGAGCTCAGCCTGGTCGAAGTCATCGTCCGTGCAGAACCACGCGGCCAGGGCAGGGACGGTAAAATTATAGAAGCAGTCTCCCACATCACCGGCTTCGCCCGTCACGCAGGCCTCGCCGAGGTAGCCGCCAAATCCATCAGATTCCAAAGTCCCGGGTGAAAGGTCAAGGTTTGTCATGCCCGCCGGCGTCGCAAGGCGAGTCGTCGGTGGAGGCCTGTGACAAGAATTGGCTTGCCGCGCATCAATAATGAGACGCTGTTGGTCTGTGTCTTTCTTGCGCACGGTGAAGAAGCCAACTCTTGCCTTGCGGCGTCGACGAAAGGTCAGGAGGTTCGCTTCGAAGAGGGCCCGGTAAAGCTGCAGACGAAGGAGCCGATCTCGCCGAAGACGGGGATCCCAGTAGGGCTCCACCAGGTTCCCGGTATCGCGGAGCCCCTCGAGCTCTTCCGGAGTCCTCTCCACCAACACGTTGAACTTGTCCAGGTAACACTTGGTCTCGGGGGGAGCCAGGTCTCTGGCGTCCTGCGGTTGGAGCCTCCGCCGTAGAATCTTGATCTTCCCGAGATCCGTGTCCACAAGGTGGCAGGCCTCCTGCGAGTACAGGTTGGCTCGCCTGCAAAGGTCACCGAGAGAGGAAGCTTCAGTCACTTCAGCTGGACACTCTCCGTACATGGCAACCCTCCGCCAAATGTCTCCCATCATCCACTCCTGAACTGAGGTGAGTGGGGGAGGGGCGGAGCTAGATGGCACAAAAGGGATTGCGGCAAGATTGTTTAAAGAGCGGAGCGCCGCATCAACTCGCCGGTGCAATCGGGTAAAAGGAGGAGTCCCCGGAGAACTCGATGAAGAAGAAAGTCGGGGTAAAGGAAAAGGATCACCATGTTTTCGGTGAGGAGAAAGACCCCGAACTCCGAATTCAGCCCATGCATCTGCCGAAGAAGTTGGGGTAGGGCCGGACATCATCCTCGGCGTGGCCCCACCCAAGAAGAAAGCTACTTTGCCCCGCCAGAGCTGCCCGCAGCAGCTCCGGCCGTCGCACTGTCTCCTTTGCCTCCTTTCTTCTTTTTCTTCTTCTTCTTCGGATTGCCCTTGCCACCATCATCGGAGCTGCTGCCATCGTCTCCGTCTCCTCGATAGCCGCGCCCTCGAAGCTGACGTCGCTCTTGATTGAAAAGCCTCTCTTGTTTCCAAAGAGAGGCCCGCTCTTTGAGGCGTGCCGAGACCCACTCCGAGAACTTGGTGGTCGCTGCCCTCCCGTCAGGCAATTGAGCGGTCCCACTCACGATGTCAAGCCCGCTGAAATCTGGAGCAGCAGGATTCCGTTCCACCGCAAGCTCGGTCTGGATCACCCACCTTGTCAAATGCTCGCCCACTGCAAGGGCGCTAACGTCAAGCTGATCGAAAGAGTGCATCAACCTCAACGCCTCGCAAATGGCCCGGTGAATGTGAACCGAGCTGGTCTTGCGATTGGCCCCTGACAAGCGGACCCATTCTGAATGGTAGGTGAGGAATCCCTCCGTTGTCAAGGAAACTGCTTCATGAAACTCCTTAGCGGCCCGAGCGCCCTGGATCGGGAACTCAGGATCCACAGGGCATTTCATCAAGGGGACGGCCTGGCGGAGACCGAGGACCTTCTTGCCACTGGCATCGCGATGGTCGCCTAGGAGTCGCACGTCGGCGGCCTCCAGGCCACGCTTCCTTTTCCAAGCATCCAAATCGCTGATCATCACTCGCTCGACAAAGACTTCTTCCCCTTCAAGGATTATGACCCCCTTCATTGTGAAAGCCAGCCCTGTAGCCTCATTCGCAAGCAAGGCAGCGTCCACCGTGCGGCCGAAATCTGAATGAGTACTCTCAGCCACAACCCACTGGGAGGCCTCGGAGTCAATCACGGCGCTCTCTCCAAGAATGGACGCCTGGATCTGAGCCTGCCTCCTGAAGTTGGACAGTGCAGCTCGACCTATGGGGTCGTGGGCATAGATCAAGGCAGCTATGTCAGCCGGGAAAGGGGCTGCCCGGTCAAGCACTCTGTGATTTTGTACCGAGAGATCATGTCGTTGGAGCTCCAGATCGGGCGTAAGGGTGATCCATCGTCCACCCTCGATCCGGTGAAGCAGGACCCTGTGATGCCAATCGAAACCTCCCGGGTCTCCGGGATAATGAACCACTATCTGGATCTCCGAGATATCTAGAGTTAGGTCTGCCATTTCTTCAGATCGGACGGCCTAGTCGGACGTGCCGAAGCCGGGCGAGAAGTAGGAGAGGTAGAAGAGCTGGATCCCAAAGAGGTCTCCGAAAGTCTCTCCGAAATCAAACCTGATCCGATCCCTGGACTCTGGTCACAAAGAGCTTCGGCCGAGGACTCGGGAGCAGGAGCGGCCCTCGCTCTAGTAGAGAACCACACCCAAAGCAGCAGTCCCACAAGAAGTAGATCCGCCAGCCCGCTAAGTCGAAGCAGCCAGCTTTGCACCCACAGCTGAACGCTACAGGATCCGGATGCCTCCTCAAGCTGAAGCACTGCTTCGCGAGTCCTCGCCACCTCGTCTCGCAACGAATGGATCTCCTCCAAAGCAAGAAGCGGTGGTCCTGGACGATGCCTTTCCACAAACCAGGCTATGGCGAGTCCTATGGACACTAGGTGCGAAGTGCTCATACGGGGGAGCTCGGGCAAGAACACTGGAGCATATACAACTTTGTTGCTGCTCGGGCTCCTACATTCACAAGCCGAGGGAATTATACTCGTCAGGACATACACACTTTCAGGTATATTATACCAAGAAGTGTACACTTGAAGTTACATAGTGGATAATAATATCCCAAAAAGTGTCAAGTGTGTCCACTCAGCTACTACGGGAAGCCGAAATCTAGGTCAGAGACTTTAACATCCCACCAGGCTTACCTGAAGTCTCCCATATTTCCAATGTAGGCACAATTTGGGAAAGTAATGTTGTGGAAAGCGGCCTGTGAGATAGACACCAACTAGTCAGCGCAAGGAGCTGCTTTGGAGAGAGGGTATAGAGGTAGCAGACAGGTACTGATGTACTGCTGATCATGCGTGGTGTTTTGTGCCCCTTCGGGCGCACGAGGACACGAGGAGATCACACACCCCTAAGGTACTCAAAATGGATAAAAGCCCGGTTTCTCGGAAAGAAAACAATGCGTTTCAGACTTTCGAATGAACACCTTCACCCTAAACCCTGGCCCTAGAGCCTAGATCCTAACCCTTCGAACTCCACGAAACCCTAAACCCTAATCATCTCCTCACCTCAGGCCCTAAGCCCTGAACACTAAAGCCCCGAGCCGACATCAGAGAAGGTTAGGGCCAAGCCGAAACGGGCCGGTGACGGGTTCCTCGTTATAGGGCCCCAAACAACCACGTAAGCAAAAATGAGGATACGGATATCCCATGTCAAGCCCCTTATACTGAAGCCCAATAAGGTAGGATATCACCATCAAATGCTTATGCTTCTGTGCTTTTTGGGGGTCCCTACGTTACTTGTTGGATATTGGAGCATCTCATTACTACTGTAGAGCCCTGCAGTTTGCTGGCCTTGCACTACACCGTGCACCACGTAAAGACCTCATAAGATCTATGACACCCTACACAAACCCTATAGGACCTTTATAAGGGAGTTTCCGAAAATAGGGGACCCTAATATGGTACCCGCCCTAAATAGTAGGATCCCTATTATCAGGACCCCAAAATATGGTACACCTATTTTCGGAAACTCCCATAATCCTTCGGAACCAAATCTCAGAGGACCGGCCTCCAGCGCCTCCGCAAACGACGTGGCGTGCGTGCGAAGGGACTCTTCCAGAACCATGACGCCGCTTTCGTGTGTTCTTAAAAGTTTAGGGTTCGGGGGTTAAAGCTCCCCCGGTGTTGGGCTTTAGAGTGTAGGGGGTCCGAAGAGCGCAGGGTTGAGGGTGTAGCTAAAGCTTTCAGGCTTTGCAAGTTTTGGCTCAAGGCCTTGAGGGCTGAAGGTGGTTGTTGCTTTGAGGCTTTCAAAACTGGGCTGAAGGCCAAGTGCGACAGAAACCCAAGAAGGCTCGGACCCTACCCTGACAGCCCAGGTTAGGGTTTCAGTTGCATGGCACATGGGCACATGAGCGGCATACCGCGGGATGAGGGTTTGGAGTTTTTAAAGTTAAGCTGGGTGCAAGCACAGAACTTGAACAACATTTCAGCACAGAAGTGGTCTGTCGGCGGGGTTCTGGCATCTATCCGACAGGCCCCTGTCCTGAAGTCATGGCCCCGACACCTATACACAGCAACGCCAAAACAAGCCAAACCCCAAAGCCCCCTAAACGCAGAAACCCACCGCTCCAAACCGAAGTGTAAAAGGCTAACGAGGAAAGGCTGCACTATGTAGGGCCTGCATTGCCTACATGCGGCAACTATTGAATACAAAAGTCCCTATATCCTTAACTTTAAACCTTTTACCCTATTATTATAAGTACTAAACCTCAAATCTACAGCTAAACTCTACACAGCTGCTACACCCTACCCTAAAGCCCCAGAAGCGTAAACCCTGAACCACAAAATCCTGAACCCCAAAATCCCGGTGCTTTCACTGTGCCATGAGTCGGGTTCGGGGTTTGGGTGTAGGGCTGGAACGGCGAACCCAATAGTGGATAGGCCACAGGAGGGTGATGAGAAAACCAGGCCAAGGCGGCCAATTGAGGAAATGTGTGAAGTGTAACTTCCCCAATAAGCCAGGAAATAAAAAAGCTTAACTTTCACATTACTACTTGGCATCGCATGGGTTAGCAAATTAAGCGCTAGATTCACAATATGTTTATAGGGCTTTACGGGAGAGGTGGGGTCGGGGTGTCCTCAGTCGGACCTCCCTTGGACTTGGAAGTAACCAGGGAGAAAAAAGTATAGACTCCGTGAGTTGGTTTACAGTCAAGTCTTGCTTGCTTGGGAACCAGGAGCCAAACACCACAACCCTAAAACCTAAACCCTAAACCCTGCACCCTAAACCCTGACAATGAACAACACAGGCTCACCAGAAGATGCCTCCTCCTTCTCGGCATCCCGTGCGGACTCCGCAACGAGTGGCTCGTGGAGGACCTGCAGAAGAACATTGCAGGGCTTTCAGAATTCGAATAGGGATTGGGAGATAATGTGACCAGATTAATTCAAAAGTCAGCAGGAATAATGTTGCTCGCTATTCAATTGTTCGGTGTTCAGCTCAAGGCGTTTGCCTCCGTGCCTCTGCGCGTGAGTGTGCAGATATACATACATGTACATATATATATACATATATATATACACATTTGTTTATGTGTGCGTTTATGTGTGTGTGTATGTATGTACGTATGTATATATATATATATATATATGTAGGTATGTATGTATGTATGTATGTGGCAATGTATGTATGTACGTATGTATGGGAGGTAGGTATAGGTAGGTAGCCAGCTAGCTAGCTACCTAGGTAGGTAGGCAGGTAGGCAGGCAGGCAGGACGGCAAGTAAGTACTTATGCATGCAGGTCTGCAGGCAAGGATGCATGCATGCATGCATTCCTGTATGTGTGTGATGTGTACACGTGTGTGTGTGTGTAAGTACATGTACGGGTATCCATGCGTGTGTATGTGTTTGTATATGTATTCACGTCCATGTAGTATATGCATATACGACTATGTATGTACATCTGCAAGTATGTGAGCATGTACCCGGCATATACAGGTAAGTGTGTATATGTATGCATGCACGCATGCATACACTAAAATCCGAAGAACAAAACCGAACCGCCAAAAGAACCACTGGGGTGCTAGCATGCACGGAGGGACGCCCGGTGTAGTCGAAGCTGATGGACTCCGTAGCCAACTCCTGGTGGCACCCTACGGTTTATGAGTGTCAAAGTATGCACAATCCGCCGCAAGCCCCCGGAATCAGGGCTTTCAGTTTCTGTGGGGTCGATCAAGCTCCCTCAGGCCTTAAAATATTACCTTTCGCGAATGGGTTGTAGCATTCGGTGGTTCACATCTTTGCGGCTCGATGTTGTCAACATGCCAAGTTCAAGCAACACCGGATTGGGCTACCATATCTCGGGCCAAGTGCCTGACATAGCCCATGCTGTCTTCATATTCTCAACCCTGTACCTGAAACTCCAAAGCATGTAGCGCTCGGCTATGTGTACATGAACAATCGCAGATATGTGTGATGTGTGTATATATATATAAGTACATGTATATATATATACATATAGACATATACATATTTAGATATATACATGCAAGCATACATACATGCATGCATACACGCATGCATACATACATACATATACATCTAAAGTATACATATACCGTTGCATATGCACTTCTACATACGCGTACACCTAGTCTCCCAGACATACATACATGCATGCACGCATACACACAGACAGACAAGCATTCAGCCCGAAATACACATTGTAGAACATATCTATGTATGTACATATGATGTATCATAAATAGGGTTTAGGCTTCTGGAGTACATGGGAGTTAATTTGTTGAGGGTTTCGATACAACTCGCAAAACGCCCCCGCCCTTGGACCCTGAGGCTCGAAGCGACCCATGGTCGTATCAAGTGACAGACTCGGGTTTACGATTACGGCTAAGGGTTCACGAGTTTAGGATTGAGGGGTTTGGTGTTGCGGGCTAAAGTATGCCAAGCTGCTCAGTTTCGGGCATAGGGTTGCTTGGCGTTTGTAGGCTTAGGCTTAGCGTGTAGGGCTCATCTGTTTAGGGTTCTGAGGCTTTGCACATAAAAAGTTGAGGTTGAAGTGCTCACATGTGGTGCCGCCTGGCTTGCGCACTGAAGTTTTCACGTGTAGCGCCAGCGCTTGATTGATTTGGGATCTAGGGTGTGCGATTATGGCGTTCAGGGTTTGTGAGTTTAGGGCTTCTTGGCCTCACCGTTCGGGGGTTTGCAGTGCTCAGAGTGTGCCCAGATTCCAGCCGCATTAGACCCGGAGCATACGCAACCCCAAAACCAAACCTACAAATCACCGCGTCCCAAATCAAGTAGACCAGCAATAATAATCTCCTAAATCCGAAACGGAACACCCAAATCCAAAAGTCCGAAACCGAACACCAAAATCCCAAAACCTGAAACCGAACACCCAACTCCTGACATCTGAAACCGAACACCCAAAGCTAAAAATCTCAGAAGGCTCTGACACCCATGCCAGGTGAGGGTCCCAAGCCGTTTCGTGGGGCGGGCAATGACCCACAGCCGCCCAAAGAACCTGCAGGTCAAGTAATGTAGGAACCTATAAGGGTTCCGTTAAAGGGTACTTTAAGGGGTACTACAAGGGATCTATAAAAAAGCGGTCAAGTAATGCCCTTTCATAGAGCCGTTATGGTCCTTAATAGTGGGTATTCAGGGTGTATTAGAGGGTAGTTTGGTGGGTCTAGGGAGGGGGCCTAACGTAGGAACCTGATTAAGAAACCCTGGGTCTGTATTAGGGTTCCTTATAGGAATCCTACTAATTGGGGATTATAGGGCTAGGGTTTCTTAATCAAGTTCCTATTTGTTTTTGTATGTGCAGTAGCCTCTTTATCCGCAGGCAGCAGAAGCTTGCCTAAGAGCAGTTGTCTAGGGTCCAAGGTATAGGCCAGTGCCACAATCAGCAGTCACATGTACTGCAGGGCACAATGCGTGCTGCTTGCTCCGAAGCGATTCTGTTTTATCGGCTGCGGGTTCGTGTCTTCGTGTATAAGGTCTAGCGGCAGAAAGTCCCAATCCCTGTTCCGGATGCCCGAAGGCATGCACCTGACCACGGCGTTGAGTCTTCAGGTTTCATCGCATTTCTGAATTTCTGAACCCCTTTCAACCTGCACCAACCCTAGACCCTACACAACAAAAACAATCTTCAGACTGTCGGCTGATATGGTTTCGGGTCCTGGCAGTGGCTTAGCGTAAGATCCCGACAAAACAAAATGATAAGGAGCCCCGGTGGCACCTGTGAAGAGTTGACAAGCCAGATCGACCTGGATCGGCTGAGGCTTCGTTTAGGATGTGGGGGTTTCCGAACATTAGGGATACCTTTTCTTGGGTCCTTTCGTTCATGGTTGCTTACAGAGTCGTAGCATGATATGCCAAGAGCCTATTCCAATTCTTCAGGCCTTGAGCATGGCCTTGGGGAGCAACGTTCGGAAAATGTGTGCTTGGAGCCTTGGGGTTAGGGTTTACAGAGTCGGGCTTGGCTCTAAACCCTAAACTGTCACATGATAGTGAATATAGGGGCATTAATCATTATAGAATCGGGTTCGGGGGCCCATTAAGCTTTAATTGTATTAAGGAACACCAAAAAAGTATTGGTAATTATATAGGCCCCTATATTACTGCGGTCTGCTAGGAATATTGGCTTTCTGGCTTGCGGTTCCAGAGTTCGCTGCCGAACATTCAGCCAGGTGCATCTCACTTGGCAATCCGTGAAGAAAGGGAGCAACGCAACCCAACTCTGAGGAAGAGGAGCAACTCGAGAAAGTATTTTGGGTCTACAAAAAGAAGAATGGGGCTCAGGAGAAGCTGAGCGCAGGAATGAGTGAAGATAGTGTGAGAAAGAGGCGCAGACCGCAGAAGAAGCAAAGCAAACCACTTCAGAAGGACTAAAGAAGGTGTTCGAGGAAGAAGAGCAAGCCAGACGAACGAAAAAACAAGACTGTGATAAAGAGAGGACCCGTCGCAAAGGGCCTAGTTTTTATGAGAACAAGCGAGCAAGGCAAGAGCAAAAGCCGAGGAAGGACCGAGCTGAGGCAGAGAAGCAAACCGAACGTCCGCCTTCCCAAAACCCGATGAAAGCAATTACAGGCAAAGGCTTCGACCC